TGTGTTCTACAGTCACTCCCTTTACCATTTGTTTTTGGCCACAAGTCTTGGCTTTCAGACTTCATTGGATCCACTTTCAACTTGTTCATCAATTGCCCTTGTCTGTGGGTAACTGGCACTCCTAGGCACAAGCTTGGCAAGGAAAGATGAATATATCCAATAAAATCCCTTATAGAGGAATGAAAATGGTCCTAACTGTATTCTCCAAGTCTAGCTATACCAAAACTAGAAGTAGCCTGAGATGATACGCTGAGAGATGGCCATCTGGGGCAGTATTTCTGAGTGTTGTGGAGTTCAGAATCCCCTGAGGGACTTACTACGCATGCAGATTACTAAACCTAGGCCAACAGAATAAGAGCATCCAAGAGTGGGGTCCAGGATTCTGAGTCTCTGAAAAGCACCCTGGATGATGGTTCTGATGTCTTTTGACTTCCCTTTGAGATTGGTATGATTGAGGAAACTTGCCCCCAAAAGATACGGAGGGGATCTGGTCACGGATATAACCTTGTGTGGTGAGTGTATGGGGTTTTATTTTGTTAAAGAGGCACACAACCAGCAAGAATGATAAGCAGCAACCAAGCCATGTTCAGAAAAAGAAGTGCAGACTTAAACCTTTCTCATTTAGCAGGTATACTGTTTATATACTGTTTAGATTTAACTTACACTGTCAGGCAGCTCAAACACTAGGTAGGCTTAAGTTAAAACAAAGAAAAAGTGCTCTGTATTTTTAATTATCCCTCTCCATTCTCACTAGTCCAGCCATATTTATTCTTGGGGATAGAGTGGGTTGAAAGTGTTAAAATTTTTATCAAGTGTCCAAGGGCACAGAGGAATAGTTCACTGTAAATGGCTAATCTCTCTGTACCAGATCAACTGAGTGTCAATCTTGCCTTTCTTCTATAGCAAATAATTTCACCCAAAATTGAGCCAGAATAGTGTCTATCCATGACAAAGACAATAAATGTGATTAGAACATTTACAAAATTTTGCTCGTTTTCTGTAAAAAAAAACAAAAAACGGATTAAGAATAAAACCTCCAACTTTCTGAACTGCTTGAAATGTTACTTTTGCTGCAAATTTGTAAAATGGTTTCATAAGCCAAATATCCCAGCCATTCAACCACTTGTTCTATTGTGAAACTGGTATCTGAGAATTCTAAGAGGGAAAAGGCATATTCCTTGTTCACAGCCTTAATGGAGGTGCACATAACAAAGTCTCTGTGTGTCTTGGGAAAATGAACTAGAGATTCAAATGGAAAACTTTGTTTCAGACCAGTTAAAACCATAAAATATAGCTAACATAGAGCTTAATTGTACAGTGGTAGTTTCAACTTCTGTATCAAGAGGTAATTTTTTGCATTTGCTTGGGATTGGCCCACAGCTACAGCCATATTGGACAGATGTTTTTAACTCTAAATGCAATGCGGAATTACCTATCATTTCTTTGCTATGCAGATTGAATATCTGCATGAGCACTCAAAAATGCATGTTTATAGTTTGAACTTCTATGTTTATTGTTTTCTACTACCAAATGTATGTCTACAGATGGAAAACTTGGAGTCTTTGATGACGGGTGGTAAGGAATTACTCAAAAAGATTCAGTTACACACAGAGAGACATATTACACATAATGTTGGGAAGGGCTAGATTACACAGTTATCAAAATATGTACAGGAACAATCCTCATCTAGAAGACGTTTCAGGAATTCCAAATGATCATACTCAACAGCTGGGCCTATCTGCAAGACTTGGTCAATGGAAAATATTGTCGCTTTTCCCCCCCCTTATGGTTCCCACCCTCCCTATTGCCATATTTGCAAAAGCAGAGTAGCACGCTGTCTTACTGCTACTGCTCCTTATTACCCTCAAATGATGGCAATGAAAGCTGGCAAAACAATTAAGCGACATGGCAGCCCATTTTTGAGAGTTTACCTTTAGAAACAATGAAGAGAATTTTAGGGAAGGACATAAAGGGTTATACAATGCTGTGGAGTATTTATTTTTGAAAACCAATGACTTCCTTGCAGTTTAAGGGTGTTAATCAATATTAAGTTATTATTTTCAACAATTACAAAGGTAACACGTTCTCTGGCAAAGAAAAAATTATGCACAATTCACCTCTTACAAGGGTGACCAACCTTTTTGGAGTTGCTTGATTTTACCATAACTTCAAACTTCTTCCAAAAAAAATGTGCTATATGAAAATTTCTTTTACAATCCCAAAGATGTGGTTTTGTGTTGAGAATTTTGTGGTAACCCTCAACTGCAAATATACTTAAAATATCAAATAGGTTTCAAGAAACTTTTAAGATATATGTAGTTTCAATTTAGGTTGACCAGGGAAAATGAATGTTCTGAATAACGATTAGTATGTACGTATGTGTGTGTGTATATATACACATGCACATTTAAAGTTTACTAATCTGCAAATTAATCTACTTTAAATGTCAGAATTTTATTTTTGGTCATTCAGAAGTCATTTTTTTTTTAAATCTTGCGGAACCTTGTTATCAAAATCAATTTTCTGGTAATGAGTTGGTTTAAAGTAGAGCATATGAGTATCCAGTGGGGGAAGAGTTCCTCTCCAATGGCCTCAGCTTATAGAACTGGGGAGTACTGGAGCTAAAACTAAACGAGGTGGTGAGTAATAATCTTTAGAATGCTTCCTCATAGAGGTAAATGCAATATGAAAAAAAAATCTATGCTCTATTATTGACAACTCCAATACCCCGAAGTGTGCAGCAGACAGAAGGCTTATAGTCCAAAATGAGGAACCCTGGCCACTGGCCTGCAGATTCATAACTGATTCTTGAGCATTCCCACTGCTGATGCACTGTATTGAAACCCACTGTTAACTATTTCCAACTTAACATTGAGTGATTATTTGATTATTTTCTCATGAATACTTATCTCTTAATTCTGTAAAAGAAAGCAGTAAAAATGCTGCAAAATTTGCTTTTATATACTAACTTCACCAGACTAGGAAATGGAACTATATATATAGTTTTGAATTTCAAGTATCTAAAACTTGTCACATACTACCCACCCACCTCTCCACCCTTTCTTTGGGTAATGTAACAGGAGTAAGTAGGTCGAAAATGCTTCTGAAAAAAGTTTCTTTATTTCTATTTATTCATTTATGCAAAAACAGTATCAGCAATATGTAATAGGAACATACTTTTAAGTTCAAAATTAATTTCCCATTTTGAAAGGTTCAGGACTTTGTCTTTTCTTTATACCTTACTCTTTTAAAAATACTTCAGTCCAACAAAACAGCACACAACAAGTTTATTCCCTTACTTAGAGGCATGTAAGTGGCTCTTTAGAAATTAGGTATCATTTACAGTAACCTGGAAATTTAATCACAGAATGATACATAAAAGAATGTTATAGCATACACAACCAACAGTACAGAGAATTTTTAAAAGGACAAATTTCAGGTTACTTTCAAATTATAAGGCATAGGAAAGCCCTTAGGGGATCTTTAAGACTCCTCTCTTCAGATTCAGAATAAAAATTACTAGGAATTATATGGCAACAATGGGCACTGATGATAAGGCCCACGGTAGCTGTATTAGATTAGGGATGAAAGAGTCTTCCTATGTTTTAGTGAAGGGGCCAATGAAAGAAAGGCCCGGAAGCCATTTTAAACTCATGTTCATGGCAGGTCAAATGATGCTGAGACACACGTTTCCTTTAGAAAGGTGTTATCCCATTGCTACCTTTCCAAGGCTTAGCCTTCAAACTGCTCATGCTGCTACTTATCTTTTACATCACCTGTTCTAGGAGCAACCTCCTGGGAAAATAGTGTTATAAACTGGAAAAGCAAGACTGTGGGTACAGTAAAAGGGGCTCTGGTGTTCTAGTTGTTTGTCGCGATATACAATGTGTAATGAGGAGACTGGTTAATCTAGAAATGGATTAACTGACTCTACTATATTCTTGGGATATGCCTATGAAACAACTTTTGTGATTTAGAAATGCCAAAACTACTTTGACTCTCTCGGACATATTTTACTTTAAAAAAGGAAATATAATAGGTTAACAAACAAAAATAAAAATCTTTTTGCTAACAAATAACTATTTTAATGTTTTTATAAAAAGAATTCCTTTCAGATACTCTGATTAACCTTTAAGTGACATAAAAAAAAAAGCTCAGCATTCTTTATTCCCAATATTTTGCACAATTTAAGGTATGTTTAGCATTTTAGGGGTGGGGGGAAGGAGAATGGTAACTCACCGAGAAGTGTATGTACCTAGTAAGTTTAGCTTGTCTTGGATTCTTTTAAAAAATTAGGTCTAAACTTTTAGTTATCTAATTACCATCCCATTCAAATAGGATAGCTATGTGTGGATTCTAGGTAAAAGATAAAATATTTCTAAATAATAAACGTAAGACCCACTGATTGGACTTTGTTTAGAATTGGTTTTACTGGGTTTAGATAAGGAAGACTTCAATAAAGCTAACTATATATTGAGTGCCACTGATTTAAAAAATGCATTTTTAAAAACTATGCTTTTGTGGTGAATTTCTAGAAAAATTCTAAGTGTAAAGCACAATATTGTAAATACTGTACTTATTCACAGGTACTTGCTGGAGAAGTAAAATGCTTATATTCAAACGATCAAAACTCTGACCTTTCAAAATAGTAGGTTTCCTAAAACAATTTTTTGAAAATCAGCATTTACTTTTAAACTGTTAAAATGTCAATTTCAATTTTAAAAAATCCTTACAGAGAAATCTTAAAGTTGTTCCTTTCAGTCTCAATTATTTTTTACTTTTAAAACTATATATTCAACACAGAACCAGTTTCTAAATAAACATCTAATGAAAAACAGTTGCAAGGTAAAATAAAACTAGGCAATCTAATACAGCTTGTATAGTCTTAATGTGATTTATCAATACTCAATTAAATTTCTATAATAGTGAAAAACTTTCAGTCTCTTCTTAATATTCAAAACCAGCAACTTCCCATGAGACTAGAAAGTTAGAAGAGAAGATCAAACAGATTTAAGCACTGCCCGGCTTCTTCTAAAATGATGCACTCTTTTATCCTAGCAAAGACAAAAACAGTTCTTTTTTACTCCATTAAAAATTTCCTATTATTACTATGACCTAAGAGAGTTGCAAAATACTTAAAACATTTACTTTGGGTTTAAGAACTATGAATAAGAGAAAATATTTCTCCATCTGGATTATAAAATCCAGAAATATTCCTGAACTCTGATAACAAATGTACCAATGACTAGTTTTATTCAACAATGTAGTTTAAAAAGAAATTTTGGTAAACTCAGAAACAGAAGGCTTAGAATCAGACCATTTTATGCAAATTCTTGAAGATTTGGCAGTGATGACCCAAAAACAGCTAGTGAAAAATGTAATTTTTAAAAAACTTTTGTTTTTACTAACAGAAGTCCATCTGGACTCTTAAGTTCTCCTTTCTGTATTTAAACTTTTCTATTTCACCTAATATTCTCTTTCAACTCTTTTCTTTCACAAACCCTTTCAATTAAAAGATTCTGCAAAAAGGTTTGTTCCCTAAGAACAAACACTATATTAAGGTTTGAGCAGCATAAAATGCACTACCAGGCAAAATCTGGGTTACAGTCAAATGTCAAGAGTTTGATTAAATGTTCTATGTAATCTCAAAATGTATGTACCACAGTAAAAAAAGATGCTTCATAGTGGCAAATGTACTTTTATCCTGCGTACTAGTCCTTTCATACCTTGAAGTAGTCATCTTGAGTAACAACAGAGTTTCTCAGTCTGTTCTCTGGATTAAACAGACAAGATACCACTGTCTGTATGCTTCGGTCCACAGATTTCTGAAACACAAAGTTTTTGGTAATCTAAAGACTACTCCTCCTTTTACTTACTGTTAACAAGCTTTTAAAATATAAAGTTTAATGAATACATATATTTATTTCTAAAGAATTCTTATGGAACTCGTAATTCTTACCACATCACTTAGAATGTAACCTTCCTACCAATTTGAAGAAATACTTTAGAACCTTAGTGATAGAGTACTTGTTTAAAAAGCTCAATTTAGTAAAACTGTAAGATATTTGCTAAATGCTCTTTAATTTTTCCCGTTAAATAAGAAACAGTGAACTTCAACATTTCAAGAAAAAACATCCAGGATAAAAACCTGAGACTGTAATTATACTAGGAGTTATTTTAACATTTTTCCAAATTTCAAATCATATATCCAATCAGGAAATTTTTTCACTATATAGTTCAGTAGTTTTCGACTTTTTCCCTGACTGAAAACCACCTGGAAAAAGTTCATGCACTATAATGAAAATTCCCCAGTTACCCATATTCCCACTCATTCAATTAAATGTAAGAGAATTAATTCAAAAGCAAAGAGCATTGTTATTAAAGGAAATCAGCTCTAATGATAAAAACTCTTCAATATTTCAATTATTACCAGTGACTCCACCACTCTTGAAATATACCACAAAATGTTATAGAAAGAATACCATAAGTAACTGTATGCTACTATTTAGCTAAAGAAATGTTTAAATTGGTAAAAAAAACAAAAAAACCAAAACCAGGCATAATTCGTACTAATCCTTTGTTTGAGGATTAGGAGACTTGAGGAAACCTGCCATTCCATTCTGCTAAATCAGGTTTAATACTACAATATTAAAGTATGGTTAAAAAAGGGAAAAAAAAGGGAAAGGACTACTGAATCTGAAATTATATGTATGCACTACAAATTTGGGGGTACCTGAAATTTCATCCACTTTAACATAAACTGAAGAATTATCAGTCAATTATTCAAGCTCTTTCATTTGTAGTTTCCATATTTAAATTTGGGAAAAGATGCTTATTTCTGAAAGGGCCATTATTAAAACTTTAGAAAATATGAAAATATTAATAAACAAAATCATAAGTTTGCCTTTTGTGGGCCATTTCCAGACGATGGAGTAGCTTCATGAACTGAGCATTCACTTGTCAACACTTCAGCTCCTGAATCAACTTCACTACAGTGGTAGTTAACAGCTGTATAAACCTACATTTAAAATAACAGAAGTATAATTAAAGAGATGTATGTTATACACATTTCTAAACAATCTACTCTTCAAAATGGCAAGGTGATACTGAAAGTTTAAATGTGGGTCGTATTAAAGTTAAATTACATTATCACAGGAACTTTATTTTAAACTGAATAGCTGAAATGTAGAAGTCTTTTATTTTGGAATGTCTTTTATGCCTCAAAACAATCAGAATTAGAAGGGCTCTTAAAAAACAACAACAAAAAAAACTTCAAAATGTTACTGAGGGTATCTCCCAGTACCTGAGAATTTTAACTTACATCCTTCAAATATCCAGTCCTGATGAAAGACCGAAGGCAATAAGGACTTGGGTATTTTAGAGGTAGCACTCTTTTGTTTTATTCCTTTTCTTACATAACATGTAATAGTAGTACAGCAAAATACTACTTTGCTTCTCTTCAACAGATTTTTTGTAGGCAGAAAACTACAAGAAGATTCAATACTATCTCTAAATCCATAGAATTGGCCTGAGCACAGGTATTAGTACCACCTTTTTTGGTACCCATATCCCCAGTAACTTTTTTGGGTTATATATTCTATCAGTAACTAACTGAACATCTGTTGTATGAAGAGCAGCCATTGCTTAAGCACACGAAAACAAGCTGAGAAAAAGCAGTTTCTCCCACTGGAGTACACATTTGAGTTGACAAAGAAATTAGTAAAACTTAACACATAATGTAAAAGGACAATTAAATATGCTTCCGGACATACATGGTATGACAAAAGGTCAAGAAATATATAACAGTTAAAAAGTACTTTAAAGAACAGGAAGTATATGTTTGGCTAATCCACCTTACCGGAGGTATAACATAACTCCTTTGTTCCCCAGTAGGCCATTGTGGTGGCATCTTAAAAAAAAAGAAAAAATCAAAATAAGAGACAAGACTCATAGAGAACAGGATGACAGGTAAGGCAAGGTGGGGATGGGGGTAGAGGTTGGGGGTAAAAGGATTGAATAAAAAGGACTCATGGACGTTGACAACAGTATTGTGACAGTAGGGTCAGGGAGAGGGGTAAAAGGGGGCTAAATGGTAATGTGAAAAAATACAATAAATATTTTTTAAAAAGGAAATAATTACCCAACTATTCCTACACTTTTCACAAAAATATGGGATGTTTTGTCATGCTGGCTCTGTAAACTTGTTATAATAAAAGAAACAGAAAGAAAGAAAGTAGTACTTTATGGTTCTAATACCTGAGAATTTTATTATTACTTTCATATGAAAATGCCACCTTTTCCTCAATTTTCTGAAGCTGGCATTCAGGAAAACTAAAAAATGGTAGTTCTTTGAATTTATTACCATAAAAATGGTCATGGATCATAGATATGGTCATATCAAATCTATGAGCAGAAATTCAGAGAACTACTGTCTTGTAGTAGTCAGGTAAAAGAAACACTATCAAGTATAATTGGAAGTCAATGCTCTTAAGAAGTGAGTAATCAGTTATTTTAACCTATTCCCCTAGTAAAATTTGTAAGTCAGTCTAGTTGTTTCAGCTATTTGACAGCAAGGATGAAGAATAATGAAGAGGGTATCAAATATTTTAAGACAGTACAAGAGAAAACTTCTTGCTAAGTACATTCTTGTCAAAACATCATTCCCTTATTTCTAATAATACAAAAGATTTAATTCAAAGTGTTTAATTAAATTTCAGGCATACTCAATTAGTTTAAATAGGAAAGTATTGGGGAAGTTTATATAAATAAAAACCTCAATAATATTCCAAAGTAAATCATTTTGTTCCCTCTTAAATTACCTGATAATTATACACAGGCAGCTGATATCCGGTGATGACCTGAACTGGTGAACTTGGATAAGGAGGATATGCCTGAAAATAACATTTCAGAAAGAATATACTAATATGGTACACATTTAAAAATTAGAAAGGAGTATTTTCCCCAGAAGAACAAAACCATAAAAATACCAAAGTCTTAATTATTTTTCTATATACAATGCAAGATCCTACTTGAGTGACTGGATTCTTTATGAAAAAAGTATTCTCTAGGAGTAAGGAATAAACAAGGGAAGTGACTAATATTTCCAGCTTATGTTTATTTAATTTGTACGTGTGTCCCCACCCAGAAGTTCTTTCTTACCTGGTGACAAGGCTCTATTAAGATAGTTTGCCATGTTAAAGTTATGTTAATACATCTGCTATTTCTTATAAAAATACTTTTAGGCAGTTTTGTTATTTCTTTGACCGTATCATGGCGTAATGTGTAGTCAATGTATAGTCTTCCTACAGACTTTATGGCTCTTTCTGTATTTTACTTCTAAACATTAAGTGCAATATATAACTCAAAACTAGAAAAGAGACATTAAAATATATTACAACTTTCAATAAATATTATTGATTAAAAACTTCTGGGTAGTAGAATATGGATATACACAGAATAGGTAACAATTCATAATAAATCTTAGGAACAGTGGTTTTTTTCTTCTAGCCATGTTTAGAGCAAGAAAAATAAGTAAAGAAGTATATCCTACACTTCAGGCAGGTAGAAAATGTAAACAAAAAAGACACTGAGGCACTATTTCATTATTGTTTTGTTTTTCTCACAAATAAAATGTCTTTTAAACTAAATGAAATAAAATGAATAAAATAGAAGTTATTTATCATCAATAGAAGACAGTAAATATTCCACATACCACTTCATATATTAAAGTAACCAGAACCAGATTGTACCTTGTATGCCAGACTTACAGTTTAAAAATACAGTTCAGTCATCAGAAACCTATCCATTCTAGAACCAAAATTCATCCATAAGTCAGGAATCTATATGGGAAACATCTGGAAATTATTGCAAATAAAGAATAACTAGACAAATGGCTAACCTTAGGAATAAACCAGGATGATGCATGAGAAAAACTGCCTTCAAATATTTTACGAGTTATTATAGAAGGGAAAAAGAGAAAAAGTATGTTCTATGTGGCTACAGAGGTCAGTTTTAAGATAAAGGCTTACAACTACATAGAAGTAGATTTTAGCTGAGAATAAAAAACACTAAGAATGAGAGATTGTTTAAAAAAAGTAGATTTCCCGTTACTTAAAGTATTCAAACAGCAACAGTATTGTCACTTACTATGGAAATTATGGATACAATTCCATAGAGGGTAAGAAGTAAGACTGTCTTATTTTTAAGGTGCCCCCACCTATAAAATCTCCAATACTAATAAATGGGAAAAAAAAAAAAAGATTGTAGGTAATTCTTACCTGAACATACTGAGTTATAGGATTCATCATGGTTGGAGGCTGCATGTAAGTTTCAGCATTTGGATTACTCCAGACACTCTGAAACTGTGGTGGAGGAGGAGGATTAAAAACCAAAGGGCGTTGCTGCACATGATAAGTACCTTTTTTAAAGAATAAAAAGAAAACAAAAACCTATTTTTAGTTCTCTAAATAGCTACACATGTGTCAACAAGAAAAATTCCTTTCTTTACTCACATAAATTTTGTTTCCTGATTGCAGGGCCCAGTTTCAGCTTTTTACCATGGAAATTTATCTGTGACTAAAAATAAAATAGTAACAAAAGTAGAATCAATTTTCAAATCTTTATTTCCAAGACTTTGATAAATATCCCAAATCTTCTAAAATTTCTACTATCAGAGAAAATCAGTGACAAAAACACAGCAAATAAAAATTTATCAGCACCGTGCTTCTTTACTACTCTGTTGAGAGCTGTTGTGGAATTTGATCAAAAACTTTTACATTCTATCTCTAGTTCATGAAGCTAGATGCCCAATCAAAAATACATACATTCTCACAGATAATGTAAGATTAGTAAAGTTCAGATTTCAAAAAGGAAGTGTACCTATCTCTATATTTTATACAAGACTGGCCCAACTGAAAATAAATAGGTTATAGTCTCACAAATTAGGTAAGGTTACTCAAGTTTAGATATCAAAAAGGAAGTACATCTATCTCTACATTTTATACAAGACTGAATATGTATTCAGGACTCAAACAATCCTAAGCATTGCATCCATAATCTAATTAAGATTTTTTTTCCATAAGATTACTTACTTCTACTATCTTCTGCACATCCACGTCATTATAAAATGAAACAAATCCGTAGCTAGAAAGGCAGATAAATGAAGTGTAAAAGTACATGTTTTACAACTACTAGTATTCTAAGAAATAATTAACAAGTGTCATAATGATAAAGGATGAAGAATATACTTGGATAAGTATTTTTAAGATATACATGATAGATTCTATATATTACTGCTTTTTTTCTTACAAAGTAGTGTGGGAACCTTATTCATTAACAGAAAATTCGCATCTATGAACCAAAATTTAATTTATTATCTATGGCAAGATAGTTAAAATTTAAGATACTGTGAAATGTGCAAAGAAAATAATTCTTTGATAAAACTGATTAATCCATGTAGATGAAATAAATGAAGATGGACAAAATTTAAATACAAATACTAGGAAAATGATTAAATGAAAGAGCTGGCAACAAATGTTTATCCTCTACATGAAAACACATTAACAAAGTAACAAATTTCATTTATACAAGTATAAGAACACCAGTGTTTCTGTCTCTCTGATACTCTACAGACTAATTCATATATATTTTATAACTTATATTCAACATATATTTTACTTACCCTTTGGACACACCAGTTCGATCCGTGATTATCTTCACTTCTTTCACTGAACCATATCTAGCAAAGAAACTTCTAATTTCAGTTTCATCCATCTACGGAGAAGAATTTGACTTTAAATATTAGGCATTCAAATAGTTCAATTATGTTATAAAAGATTTGATGATGTGGAACTATTTCCCTGAAGTATCCCCAAACTACCTGTAGGTTTTTTGTCAAAGACATTTTTAGTCTCCAGAAGTTAAGTATAGAACTAATTCCAAACTTGCACTAAGTACAAAAAAACCTTATGTTTGCAACAAGGGCCAAAGTATCATTCTTCACAAAATATATTTTTAAATAAATTAAATGAATACAATACCCTAACATCAATTCCACCAACAAAAACGGTGTTTGGCATGATTTTGCCTTCAGGTAAAACATAGCCTTGGCTGGTTGTAGATGATGAGGATTGGGTGCTGGCCTCTCTCGAGATGGTTGGCTTTGGAGTCTCAGAATTTGCAGCAGACTGTAATTTGGTAAACAGATATTATCACTAGACATATGAGCAAAAACCATACACAATGTGAAATACAATTTTTGATTTTAAAGTATAAAACATTTTCTTATACAATGCTGTGGTAGAATACTGATTTTACATTGAATTTATGGAAATACTATGTAAACTGGTGAAAAATAATTAGTAGGTTCAGGTGTGTAAAATCAGAGTTACTAAAGTCATGCTTTTTTTTTGTTTGTTTCTGCCAATAAATAACTTTTAATTTTACAAGTAACTTTTTAAAAAATTATGGTAAATCTTTAAAAAAGATAAAGTTTAAAAAGCAGCATTAAAAGGAAAGCACATCTAATTTTTAAACCATTTTTTGTCTCATTTTTCTATTCACCAAAATTAACATGGATTTTATAATTATGACATCTTTGTGTTAGTATGCCTGCTTTACTTTGGGAAGTGCATCATGAAAACATTATTTGCTCACAATTCAGAGTTCCTGCTTTTAAAAAAGGGGCTTACTATCCTTTCCCCTAACGCTAGGGTGTTCAAAGCATCTTTTGAAATAACGTATTTCTTCTTGAATTATACCAAATCAGTCCTACTGATAATTCTAATTTTCACAGTGGACTGATAGATAGGATACCATCTTTATGTTTAAAAAAAAAAAGAGACCCACACATGAAACTCATTATTTTTCTGGATTCTGGTCAGAACTCTGTCTTTGGTCTTCCCACACTAAGATTAATGTAAATTTCTTTGAAGCAGAATTTACTGATAATATATGCCGGAAAAGCAGTATAGCATAATGAAATAAAATTGATTTAGTCAGGAGATGTAGGATCATATCCCTTGCTGGGTTATAAGCCACTTTCTTTGCAGCTGTTTATTTCTGGGAAAATTGCTTTGAGAATGAAGTGAGATAACATCTGTGAATTCATTTTGAAAAGAGTATGCCAATATAAGTTAGTGTCCTGTTATTTGAATTTTCAATAGATTAAAAACGTTTATTTCCTGGTTTTACCATTGACTTATTTTTTAGACACTTTAATGAACAACTAATTTGAGTTGGAATTTCAAGAAATTATCTTATGGCACATCCGCTCATTTGAAACTCATTTATAAAGTGCCTACTGATTATAAGAGCTAAGTACAAAAGGCTGCAAAAGAGAGATAAAGCTATTACATCTGTTTATGAAGGAAAGCAAGGACAAAAGAAACCAACTTATACCTATTTTTAAAAAGGTAATTTTTATAGAAATTAGTAAAAATGACAAAATAGGTAAAGTTCCTATTTCGTTACATGCTAGAAGTTACTGGTAAATTTAAGATTCTACAAACTGCTATACTAATTAAAGATGAAATAAAAATTGTCAAATCACCAAATTTGAGTGTTTTGGCTTTTTTGTATTAATTTGTGCTTGTAATTGTCACATTGTGTTTCAATTTGAATACTTCCTAATTCTTTCCTTTAATTGTGGTACAGTGACATTTCATGACCATAAAGTGGAGACAGTAAACTATTTCTAAAGTTTTTCCATTATAAAACAAAAACTGTAATTTTTTATAATTTTAATTTTTTTCTAAATGGGACTATATTACAGAAGTTACATATCTTGAACTATTGAGAACTTGACTAGTTTTCCCTTACGACAATTTATCAATCCCTTTCAATTAGCTCACTCAAAATTCCAAAACACAAAATAGTGTTTCTGAGATTACTGCAGACTTTCTTTTCTCCTTCTCAATTTCCTTTTCATTTGTGTGTGAATTTTGGATACCCTTTAATTTAATAACTACTTACAGTATTTTCTGTGAATCACAAAAAAAAAGGATGTTTTTTAATTTACAGATGTAACATCAGGCCATAAAACTGTGCCAGATTATAAGGAATGATGATAGTGTATTATCAACCACGGGAGGTTTTGCAGACCAGGGACACAATAAACATCTATAATGCAAAGGACAGCCACCCACAACAAACAATTATCTGGCCCAAAATTTGCATAGAGTCATGGCTGAGAAACACTATGTGATAGTGTCACCAGAACTGAAAAGGAAAAGTCTCATATTCTATTTACAAAAGTAAAATGGATACTTGAGAGACAACTAAACAGTAATTGGATGAAAGGAGAAAAAAACATTAGATATTATAGGAAGTTTTGCTTGCAGTTGGTGGTACAGATTGGCTGCCTGTTATCTGGAATATTAACTATAAAATCTATCAAATTATTTTACCAGTATCATAATGCCTTAAATTAAGGCACCCTCAGGGTCCTAGTCCTTAGCCAGCAGGTGGCGCTCAAAGCCAACAAAGTAAGCAAAGTATTCCATTTTAACGAGGCTGAACAGCAGGGATTTTTAAACTCCTACTGTGTGTACTTATATATAATTATAATTTACATATACAACCTCCATAACCAATAGAAAACCTTTAGTTACTTTTAAACTATTGCCAAAAAATACCCCACAAGAAAGCAAAAAGTTTGGTGTTGACGAAGTATTAATATTAACCACCATAAGCATATAGAAAATAAATCACATATAAGAAGTATTATTTTTCTTAATTATATCTTCAAGTAGTTGGCAGATTTTGAAATGAGGAATGCTGAGATGTTAAATAGGGGTGAACTCAGAGGCCATCATATATACAATTCTCATCACTGCTATTTACAGTAATATATTCCCTGTTATGAGTGGATAACCAAATGACAATGATAACTAAAAGCTGGAAAAAAAGAAAAAAACACATCATCACTAATGCTCTTGGGATGTCAGCTCTTTGACAATATTATTTCATTCCACTACTATGTCTACATGCAAGCAAACTGAGACCCTTCCCAAATATACATTGATCCCCACCCCCCACAAAAAAGTCTACAATTTCTATTCCGCAGCTGTATCCTTAAAAAAGAGCTAATAAAGAGAAATGCAAAAACCAAGCAAATCAGAATAAAACCTTTTAAGTAAATCAAAGACTAAACTCTTAGGGGGGAAAAATCCAAAAAAATAAACAATCCTGGTAAAAGAAGAGCAAGAAAAAGGGCAAGAAAGCACAGATACCTTAGTTGTGGGAAAAAATGATATGAACACAGATTCATAGGAGAATAGGAGAATACTATTTATGTGTTTCATGAGAATAAATTTGGGAATCTGGAGGAAATGGCTAACTTCTAGAGAAATGTAAATCCTTGAAAACAATCTTAAAAAAGAACCACTTGATTCCCAGATCAATTTCACTGGGAGTTTTTTCAAACTGTAAAGAAATAACTTGTGTTGCCGGACTGGGGCACCAAGACAGAAACAATGGTAAGTAGAAAAGGAAGTGGAAAAGAAAGAAAATTAACATTTTTCCTAAAAATTTTTCAAAAAAAAAATTTCTCAATTCATTTTACAAAACTAACAGCATTTGAATAACAAAATTTGATTAAGATGGTTCACTCCTCCCCCCAGCGAAGATGCAAAATTCCAACAGTGTATTAAAAAAATACAATGAAATACAGTTTATATTGGAAATGCAAGGATGGTTCATTCTTAGGAAATCTGTTTTTGTAATTTACCATTGAAAAACATTTGCTAAAAATACAGGATTAATTTTTAAAATTAAAAAAACAAGTACAGTAGAATTAGACAAATCTTATTTGCTTTCGCTCTAATTCTAAACCATCACGAGGTTTAAAGCGAAACATAGTCATTTCCACTGAAATTAGGAATAAGAGCACTTGTTTATTACCACTAAATTTTTTCTACTATATATGACCAATGGTTAAAATTAATAGACTTCTTATAAATCATTAAGAAAAAGATAAATATCCAAATAGAAAGGTAGCTTAAGAATTTATAAAGAAGAAATTTTAAAAGCTAATGACAAACTATTTCACTAATAATAAAAAAGCTCATCAACACAGCGAATTATATTTCTGCTACTAGATTGTCAATTTAGAGATTACATTCCATCAGCAGGGATATATACTGGTACCTGCTTTAATTTATCAAAAGTAATTTGGAAAGATGTGTAATTTAAAATTGTTATAAAAATGGGCATAACGCACCCTGAGATTCCACTCATAGCAATTTATTTCGAGGAATTAATAGAACCAGCATGTCAAAACATTTGCACGAAAATATTCATCATAGTATTGTTCTAACATAGAAAAAATTATTCATTATAAGGTAGTTTGCTAAAAATAAGCGATGGCACAATCTTATACTCTCATATTGTATATCCAAAATTACTTTAAACTTACCTTTGGAATAATGTCCACTATATTAAGTGAAAGATGGAAATTGTAAAATAGTATTATATGGTATGGTACAACTTTTGTAAAATAAAATTTACCTATTTATATGCAATACATGCACAAAAACTATCTGGAAAGGCACAGACATCAAAAATTTAACAGATGCTGGGGTTAAGATAGACCTCTATTTTCTTACATTGAATGTTACTTTTATAATCGGAAAAAATAAGCTATTAGCATTGCCCACTTTTTCCTTTAAAAATGAAGAAAATTATTGTAAATAATTATTTATAGTAACTAACAGTGATTATTAAATAACTAATATGGATAACTACGTGACAAAACAATTATCAATTACATATAATTATAAATTTTCATTTCAATATATGTACTAATAAAAATTTTCTCCCTTTACCTCTAAATATAGAGAATAGTAATTATAATAAACACACATGGTATATAATGCATTTGTGACTTAATGGTTAGTCGAAAGTGTTCACAGACTTCTGTGGTGGGGCGGTATCAACTCCACCCATTTACCAAAACTTTTATACACCCCTAAAATTATTCCTGTACGTACACTTGGTTTAAAGCTCTCCAGTTTATCTACAGAGGAAAACTGTTCCCTTGAGTAAAAATTTCTACACTTTTCAAATCCGCGGTCCCTCAGAAGCAAAGGCAACTCTCTACAACCTCGGGCGGCAACGCTGGCGGCAGGCGGGCTTTGCGTCTCAGGCCGCCCCACTAGGGCCGGAAGGAGGGGCCACCACAAAAGCCCTTCACTCCCGGCCCCTCACTCAGCTCACAGGTCCCGCCTTCAAGACGCCTCAGTTTGAAGCCAGTCCCGCCCTGTACATCCCCCGAACCCCACCACCTCAACCCTCACGAGGACCAGGAACAAACCACTTTCTGCGAAAACTGTGGGTCTCTAACTCGGTAAGTGTGTTCCTCAGAAAGTCGGCGCCACATGGCGTTGAGTGGCGGCTGGCCCGACGCCACCTCGCGGAGGCCTGCTGCTTCGTCTCCACAGGGCAAGAGCGGGAAGGGAAGCTGGTGGGGGCGGGGCGGGAGCAGGGAACCCCGCACCCCACATCCCAGCCGGGCGGAGAACCTGGGACGATTCTCCACAGCCTAGTTCGCGCTGTGGCGGGAGGTGGTGACGGCGTGAAGGCCACGGGCCCTGCACGTGGTCGGCCTGCGGCTGGCCAGAGCAGGGCCGCAGGGCCGCCCCCTTCCACCACACCCCAGGCCTCGCGCTGCTCCTCGCCTGCCGGGCTGTGCCTGGTAGGCCCCACCCCAGCCGCCAGATGTCCGCCCCTTCGCCCACTCTTAGGCCGCGGCCTGAGGTGGATCCAGGCAGGTGCCTCTGACAGGAAAGTCGGATGACCCCACTTCTAGCTTCCCTCCGCGCCTCACCTTCCCCCCAAAACCGAGTTCCAGCCCCCTGTTTTGTCCCTCTGGCCTCTTCCTCAACTCACCATGATGGCGGCAGCTATCAGTTCCCGCTGACGGGTCTCGAGGAGCAGAGGCTGCTCCTCTGGCACCACTCTTAGGTCTGCTGGTAGGTCTGCTCGTGCCTGTTGCCTGGCCTCAACTGGGCAACGGGAGAAAAGGGAAGAGAAGTCAAAGGTGGCAGCGAGGCTCAGGAGGCCTGAGCACTGCCCCGCGAGGCTGAGGGGCGCAGGCAGACTGAGGCGTGGCGTGTGGGGCTCCGAACTGTGCTCCAGAGCCTTCTGGGTACTGGGGCTCATCGGACTCGTTAGCCAATGGGCGACAGCGCCGCCCTCTGCGGGGGGACGCTTCAGGGTACGTCGGCCCCCTCCCCCCGCGAGGGTGCGCTGGGGGTATGCGGGGGGTGCGTGTGGGTCGGCAGTGTGCAGCGGGGGAGGCTCTTCCCTAAAACAGACCCTCCGACGCACAGACGCATCCATCACCCCAAAAGTGCTTTAGGAACACACTTGAAATTAGTATGCATACTTAAATATATGTTAAAATTAAAAAAGAAATTTTAATGTGCCCAGGATCTAGTTTCAAAATGGCGTCCCGAATGCAGAGGATTAGTCCCATCACGATTATCCCTATTGCTGCCCCCCAAATTGATTGAAGTGCCTGCAAAAATAGAAAATGGAAACAAGTCTAAGCAGAACAGGGAACAAAACATCGAAAGAAAGGAAGCATGGATGTCTTTCTGTCAAATTTGATATAGATGGGATTGGATTGGAAGGAATGACCAGCTAGGTCAGGCCAGCTTGGCGTTAAGGACATTCATTCCTTAAAGAAGCATTTATTGAGTGCTTATGATTACCACGTACCGCAGATGTGAGAATGAAAAAAATAGGCAAATACCTTTATTTTTTTTCCTGCTAGGGAGTTTAAATTGTAAGGCGGAGAGTTTCTCTTCCAGGCCTTACAGGAAGAAGCTAGGCCTTCCTAGAGAATTCTAGAACATTCTCAAGTTCAGGGAAATAGGGCCTTGAGTAAGGGTGAGCTGTGAGGCGGTTGGTGTAGCAAATCACACAACTTTGGCAACCACCCAAATACCCTATGCTGATAGCAGGTAACTGGCTATGATTATTATCCTCATACTTCACTTGTACCAATGAAAAGCACAAAAATATTATTTTGTGAGATGGCAAAATGGTGGACTTTTGCAGCCTGACAAACTGTGTCACTACCAACACCTAGTATTACTGGATAAAATAAAAACTGACCTTAGTTTTGATATGCAGCTAAACCCATAAAAAATAAAGGGAAATCATAAGATGCCAGAAATGAAAGTGAAAACCAGAGCAGGGACATGTTTAACTGGTTCTCCTTGGGCCCTCTGTACGAGAGCTGAAGTATAGGGTGACCGGCTGGTTTGCCCTGTACTTTCCTAATTTTAGCACTGAAAAGCACCACATCCCTGAAAACCAGGTCCCAGACAAACCAGGATAGTTGGTCACCTTAGGTATGGGCAAGATGTTAGTCTTTGTAACCTGAGGCCTGGAAGTATAGGGGCAGGTAGTAAGGGTTTGGAGTAGTCCAAGGGGGTAGCTGGAACTGAGTACACTACAAAAAGCTGTTGTCTCTGAGGGACATCTTCTTTATCTGAAGGTAAAATAGGGAAAATACAAGACACCCAATGGAAGTTTGTCCCATTTCTGGATGAAAAGAAAATATTATGAAATTTTGAAACCATAGACTTGTATTTTACAAAAATATTTATATTTTGTTGGAATCTCAAAATCTAGACATTTATTCCCGAACCCCCACTTCCTCCCCAAAAAGATCCCAGACAAGGTATATTTAGAATGCGAGGCAGAAACAAACATAAAAACGACCTGGAGAGACATTTCCATAAAAGGCTGAAAAGGATTCTCATGAGAGAAGGACCCTTTAAAGATAAGTTCACAATGAAAAAGTTACAAAACACTATTCCTGTGAATGAGAATGGCAGACAATAAAAAAAAAGATTAAAATGTCAGACTTAGAGAAAAAGCTTCTTTTGATGTGTGCTTGTGTGTGTGTATGGGTGTGGTATATGTCTTTTCTCAACTTATTTGGAGTAATATACTCTATATATTTTAAACTAATTATTCTACTACTTTAAAAATCTAAAATATATCTGTACTCTCATCTTGAATAATTCAAAGGCCTTAGGATGTTTTTAACTCTGTACACCCCCTCCTGATTTATAAGCCATTATTATTATTCACTACATTAAGTTCTATCCTGTTTTCCTTCTTTAAATTAGACATCATTTCCTTGTGTCTAAAGTAAATTCTATGGAGTTTTCTTTAACGAGAGTGTGATGTGGTAAACTCTCAGGGTTTTTTTCCCACTTGATATTCTATTATTTTCCTCTTGTTCATCGAAGATAATAATACTGGATATAGTATAATTCTAGGTTTACAGTTGCCTTTTTTTTTCCTCTTTGAATATTGAACATGTTCTATTATCTTCTGGTTCCTGTTGCTACTAAGAAATCTGCTATCAATCTAATTTCTGGTTAAGATCTATTTTTGGTGTTTTGAAATCTCACAATGATGTGACTGGTCGTGAACTTTTAAAAATTTATCCTGCTTGGCAGATTTTGGGCTTTCAACAATTTTAAAAAAATTCAACCATTTTTCTTTTGTCAAAGATTTATTGGTTAAGGAATTTAACCTAGTTTTTATATTTCTTATTCCATAAGCAATTCATATAGTAATTTTTGTTTAGGTCATGTCCTTTTCAAAGGTTTGTGGTATTCTCTTGAAACCCAAGAAACCTTTACTTAGAAAAAAAATTATTATTTGAGGTCATAATTGACTGTAATCATTTCAGTGTGTAGAGGTTGGTAGCATAATTCATATAAATTGAGAAATAAGTCTCTACATTGCTTCCTTATCCTTTAGACTGCAGGGGTGTACAACCCGCACGCCACATGTGGCCCAGGATTGCTATGAATGTGGCCCAACACAAAATCGTAAATTTACTTAAAACATAATATTTGTGTGTGTGTGTGTGTGTGTGATTATGTGTCACAGTGTATTTACTGTGTGGCCCACGACAACTCTTCTTCTAGTGTGGCCCAGAGATGCCAAATGTTTGGACAACCCTGCAGAGCAAGCAGCAGTTTTTCAACTGGTGTGCCCTGACACACTGGTGTGTGGCAAGAATTTTTAAAGCATGCAGTACTTAACCGTTTAGTCAGGGGCACTGACCTCTTTTTACTTAGATTGTCAAATAAAAAAATGACAAGAGCCAACACAGCAATAGCAGTCTGGTGTGAATGAATCAAAATTATACCTGTTTTTTGTCAGATCAGCAAAAAAAAATTTTCTGGTGTACCACAGAATTTTAGTACTTCCTTTATGTATGCCATGAGATGCAAAAGGTTGAAAAGCGCTACTCTACACGCTGATAGGACAGGAAGAAAAAAATGGCTATTTTTTTTTTAAACTTCTCTGCCAGTTCTAATGTGCTTCTAAAGCCTGGGACTACAATTAGTATAAGCATTCTCAAAATTCATTTATTTGCAAACCATTTTCATGATTTTTATTGTATCTGCTCCGAAACTCTACATTATTATTTACCTAATTTTTAAAAAGCTGACTCAATATTTTCCTATACCATAATATTTATGAAATCACATTTGTCATGTTACATTTTTTAGCAACACATTAAAATAAATACATGACTACTAAAATTTAAAATATTTATCTGTGGGTTTCTTCAGATCACATTCTCTCAGGGCAACAGGTAGCATACTTTCGGAGCATACTGGATTAGGAGCACTCTATATCCTGTCTTTGGATATGCAGAGTTAGATCCAAAGAACTAGGGGGTGGAGTGTCAAGTTTTCTGCATTGTAAGTCAGAGTAATTGAATTTGAAGGGGGAACCCAGGCAAGGGTCAAAAAGTGGAAATCTGGGAATATGGAGAAAAATAATTTTGCAAAGTGACAAGAAGTTGCAGCTTTCTTTGAAAGATGCTATCTGAATACACTGGAATCATCTGGAGGCTTTTAAAAGTTTGTATTCCCAGATAAATTAAGTCAGATGAGAGTGAAACCCAGACATTGGTATTTGTTTTAAGTGTTTCTAAAATTACTCCAATATACAACCAAATATGAAACTCTTTGCTATGGAGCTTTGCTACTCTGTATGGTCCAGACCAGCAGCTTTGTAATTATTATGGAATCTCAGGCTTACCCTAGACTTAATGAATTAGAATCTGCATTTCAACAAAACCTCCAGATGGTTCACCAGTACATTAAAGTTAAAGAAGCACTGACATAAACAACTTGCCATGAATCCCTTGCATCTTTGGATTTGAGAATGCCTGCCTTACAGAGAGAGCCTACTTTTCCAGCCTCTCTTGCAGCTAGAGCTGGACATATGACCTACACAAGACCAATGAGGTATACTCACCTAAATTTTGAATATGAGACTAATGATGACACAAAGCAGTGACTGCAGAGAATACATTCTGGAGAAGGATAGCAACAGCAGCAGCAGCCATGGCATCAGTTAACTATAGTCATATCCACTGCTGTCAGTTGTGCAAGCTGTGCTGCAATTTCGTTTCTTCACTGGACCAGTTCTGCAGCATGATTCCCTGTGTCATTCCTGGAGACACAGATTCCTAGCCTGATTATTCAGTCCTTTCTGAGATTCCTTTCCTGTTTAAATCAGCCAAACTGTATGGGTCTATTGCAAGCAACAAAGAACCTTAACTGAAATAGGTGATGAGAGGGGTCAACCAAAGCACTTTTAAGATGAGGGTTCACAGCTAAACGATGTATGGCTTTGCTCTGTGACTCCACAACGTTATGTCCCCTGTATTGCACAAAAGCTTTGTGCCAGTAGTGTTTTGGGAGGGATGTCGAGGAAAAGGTCTCTTTTCCCTCTCTATAGCAAATGTTATGGGCAGGACTACTACATTCAGGGCAGCAAGATGATTCACAGATGAAATAATTCAGCAGGAACAGAAGCTTAGAGCACAAAGGGAGCTGGAAAAGCATAAATCATACTCCCAGAAAACCCAGAGAGCTAGGAAGAGACATATGTTATTCCCACTGTATGTGGGCTAGAATTTGAGTCAATTCCATTTAAATCTCAAGGTATGGTGCCTCAGCTTCTATTGGACCTGTATTCACATGGCCCAGCATAGCAACACACATCTTGAGTACACTTGTGCATACTTGCAGTGATGTCTGTTCACTGAGCAATGTTGCTTAAGCTCTCCTTGTGCATCTTTAACCCTAGGATCTGCATAATATTGTATTCATTCAACACTTGATCTCTTGAGCAAATTGCCTGAATCTGGGGGTTGGTCCTAACCAAGCTGATTTCACAATCGCTTCATAAGACCTGCCTAAATACATAACTATGAAAAGTGACTGACTTATTAAAAGTAACAATAATGACAATAAGAACTGGTACTGATAATGGTGTTTACTACA